CATAGCTGGAGAGAAGCCGATGTTTGGCTTCAGTGTCAAAGGGTGGGAAGACCACCTGAGGCCAGATGTTTGAGACCAGCCTGGGCAGCAGGGTGAGACTCTGACTCCACAGAAAAATACAAAAATTAGCTGGGCACAGTGGGTCACGCCTGTAATCCCAGCACTTTGGGAGGCCAAGGCGGGTGGAACGTGAGGTCAAGAGATCGAGACCATCCTGGTCAACATGGTGAAACCCCATCTCTACTAAAAATACAAAAATTAGCTGGGCATGGTGGCACGTGCCTATAATCCCAGCTACTCGGGAGGCTGAGGCAGGAGAATTGCCTGAACCCAGGAGGTGGAGGTTGTGGTGAGCTGAGATCACACCATTGCACTCCAGCCTGGGTAACAAGAGCGAAACTCCGTCTCAAATAAAAAAAAAACAAAAACAAAAAAAAGAAAAATACAAAAATTAGCTGTGTGTGGCAGCGTATTCCTGTAGTCTCAGCTGCTTGGGCAGCTGAGGCAGGAGAATTGCTTGATCCCGGGAGGCTGAGACTGCAGTGAGCTGTGATCAGCATTGCACTCCAGCCTGGGCGACAGAGTGAGACCCTACCTCTTAAAACAAAAAAAAAGGCCAGGCACAGTGGCTCACACCTGTAATCCCAGGACTTTGAGAGGCTGAGGCAGGTGGAGTAGAGATGGCGAAACCGCGTCTCTACTAAAAATACAAAAATGAAGCGGGCGTGGTGGCGCGCACCTGTAGTCCCAGACACTCGGGAGGCTGAGGCAGGAGAATCACCTGGACCTGGGAGGCGGAGGTTGCAGTAAGCCGAGATTCCACCAGTGCACTCCGGCCTGGCGACAGAGCGAGTCTCTGTCCCCCCAAAAAAGAAAGAAGTGATACACTGGCGCGGTTGTCACCTCATGGGATTCTTGTTGTTAGAGATTATTTAATGTGTTTTGGTCAGAGGACCGTCTATGTGATATTGATCATTTGGGTTATTTCCAAATGTGGAAATATCTGTGGCCTGACAAAGGGGCGGAAGTGTCCCACAGGGTCAAAAATAAAGAAAGATGGGTGAGCCGCGAGCGCCTCTGCATTTGCGTCTCTCTGGCGTCCATGAGGCCAGCTCTGCAAGCTGGGGCCTGCTGTCCCTGTGGTGGGCAGGCGTCCAAGATCGCCACTTGGAACCCACCGGTTGCCTGGTGCTGTTTGCTCCTTTTCCCGGGGGTCCGGCGTCTCCCGAAGTGTCTGGAGAGCTTTCGTCTTATCCCGCAGCCTCTATGCACTCTGCTTGCATTTATCGCTTTGCACTGGACGCACCTGCTGGCCTGCTGAGCGAGGCCTGCCCGTCCGCTCTGACCTTGGCTGCCTGGGGCTCGGACAAGCTTGTCCTGCTCTTGTCAGCTGCATCCAAGCCGCCTGCTCCTCAGGGCCCCCTCGCCGGCCCTCAGCCCGGAGCAGTGTGTGTGGGGCTGCACTTTTTCCTGTCCCCTCCTCAGTCTCGGGGCTGTGGCCCCCCATACACCCGTCTGTTTCCTTTCTCATTTCTTCTTCCTGACCCCTCCTCATGTTCACACCATAGGAGGGCCTGGAGGCCTGAGGCCATTGTTCTCACGATGGGCTCATGTTTAAGAGACAGCTGGATGGCCAGGGAAAAAAGGCCTAAGATCAGGGATGGGGGTCTAAGGACAGGGCGAAGGTCTGAGGTGGGGAGGGAGGTCTGAGGTGGGAGGGAGGCCTGAGGTGGGAGGGAGGCCTGAGGTGGGAGGGAGGTCTGAGGTGGGGAGGGAGGTCTGAGGTGGGGGGGAGGTCTGAGGTGGTGGGGGATGTCTGAGGTGGGAGGGAGGTCTGAGGTGGGGAGGGAGGTCTGAGGTGGGGAGGGAGGTCTGAGGTGGGAGGGAGGTCTCAGGTGGGAGGGAGGTCTGAGGTGGTGGGGGAGGTCTGAGGTGGGAAGGAGGTCTGAGATGGTGGTGGAGGTCTGAGGTAGGAAGGAGGTCTGAGGTGGGAGGGAGGCCTGAGGTGGGGAGGGAGGTCTGAGGTGGGGGGGAGGCCTGAGGTGGGAGGGATGTCTGAGGTGGGAGGGAGGTCTGAGGTGGGGGGGAGGTCTGAGGTGGGAGGGAGGTCTGAGGTGGGAGGGATGTCTGAGGTAGGGAGGGAGGTCTGAGGTGGGAGGGATGTCTGAGGTGGGGGGGAGGTCTGAGGTGGGGAGGGAGGTCTAATGTCGGGGGAGGAGGTCTGAGGCCCACAGTTCTTTCCTCCTGTGCTTCGGAACAAGGCAGTTACCCTCACGTAGCCAGGGCTGCAGCCTAGACATCTGATGCCCTCATGACTCCCCTTTTAGGAGTTTCTCTTTCTATCCCAACGTTTTTACAATTTTCCTCCTTCCTCTGACGCTTCTGGGTCACAGGGCAGGGTTTTCAGGGTCTCCCCTGTTGCGTCCCTGACCCCTGACCCTTTCTGTGCGAGATTTTCCCTGTCACCCCAACTCTGGGAACCCGAGTCCACAGCTCCTGGGCCTCCTCTCACCTCCATCCTCCAGATCATTGGCATTTTCTTGTATATTTTTGGTAACCATTTCCTTCTCAGCCACCACCAAGGCCCTAGCCTGACCCCTATGCTGTGCGCCTGGCCTGTGTCCCCCCACAACAGGCTCAGTTCTTTTCCTAAACAAATTCTCGCCCTGGCTTCTGGCCCCAGCCACGCCCTCGGCAGGAGGTGAAGGGACGGGTGACCTCGGCAGGAGGTGAAGGGACGGGTGACCGTCCACAGGAGTTGTAGGGATGGGTGACCTCGGCAGGAGGCGAAGGGACGGGTGACCTCAGCAGGAGGTGAAGGGACAGGTGACCTCGACAGGAGGCGAAGGGACGGGTGACCTCGGCAGGAGGTGAAGGGATGGGTGACCGTCCGCAGGAGTTGTAGGGATGGGTGACCTCCGCAGGAGGCAAAGGGACGGGTGACCTCGGCAGGAGGCGAAGGGACAGGTGACCTTGGCAGGTGGTGAAGGGATGGATGACCTCCACAGGTGAGGCCAGGGAGCAGCAAGTGCAGAGCCCACCCGCCCACACCTCCCCACACCCACACCTTCTCCTCTGGGGACCTCACTGGGTGGTTTCTGGAGTCTACGCCCCTTCTTGATCGGGGAGTTTCTCCAGGGCTGATTTGAGGGTGGGCCAGTAGGTGTGGCTTCTTGGGCGGGAGGTTTGCTAACATCTGCTGGCTGCTCCCTGGCTGGTGTGGTGTGGAGGGAGGAAAGTAGTTCAGAGCAGTGGAACCCGGGCATCCTGGGGCCCAGCCGGCTCCTCGGTTGGGGGAGGACAGAGCCTGCCTCAGGCGAGGAATGGAGTGTGGACTCGAGTGCTTCTGGGGTGACGAGGGGGAAGGAGTGAAAGGTGGATGCCAGGATGTCAGGAGGGGCCTGGTGGCACAGCCTGTCTGAACACAGGGGACATGGGAGACACCGCCCACCACAGCTCTGTGCTGCAGCAGAGATCACAGCCCCAACATGGCCCCCGCTGCCAGAGATGAGGGAGCTTTCGGAGGTAGTGGGGCCATGGGACTGTGCTGGGCTGGTGAGCTGTGGGGGGTGCAACGGCAGTGGACGGCGGCCCTGGGGCCTCGCCTGCTTGGCCTAGGAGCCAAGGACAGGCCAGAGGCGGCCAGGATTAGGCACAGACCAGGCCGCAAGTCGAGCGAGGCTGGGTCTTTCCCAACTGGTTCAGGGCCCACGGCTCATGAGCCTCGCACAGCGCTTGAAACCAGGCATCCAGCCCCTGAGGAAGGAACGTGGCCAGTGGCTGTGCTTAGGCGGCAGTCAGAGATGCAGGAGGACCGCGCCGGGTGCTGGAGTAGACGCAGCTGTGAGGGGCCCACCAGGGCTGTGGGAGGCAGGGCCTTCCTGGAGGCTGCCGACCCCCTTCCCACAGGAGGTTCCAGGCCTGGAAATGGACTCTACGTGGGACTCCTGGAGCCCACCATCAGCTCGCTCCTCCTGGGACACGGCGGAGTCTGGGCCAGCCCCAGCTGCAGCCCCCAGGTCCTGAGCGACACCAGTGCCGGTGCTATGTCTGTCCTTTCCTGCTCAGCACCCCCAAGCCCACCCCTCAGGCAACCCTGTACCTATGCTCAGATTCACCTGAAAACGGAGCACCTGCCCTGGCGTGGCAGTGGTCTCCGTGTCCTCTGCTGAGACTGGACTCCCAGTCCTTAAGGGCATCTGGTTGCAGGAGGGAATGCAGGGTCCTCAAGAGGGCAGCGGCAGGGATGGCAAATGGGGCCCCTCCCATTTCCACACCTTAACCCCGGGCCCATGCATTCTATTGGGGAGGAGATGCCGAGGACGCCTTGCTTATGGGTTTGGCACCCCGGAGCGCAGTGCCCAGCTCCACAGCCCTTGGCCACCAGCTGCCCCTTGAGCATGACTCCGCAGGGCATTTCCACCACCTAAGGGCCGCAGCTCTGGTGCTGCCATGCAGATCACCACGGAGAACACACATGGAGGCCGGGGCCAGCGTGCCAGCAACAGCCGAGGTGAGAGGCGGCTCCGACGTGCAGACTCACGGTGCCGCCGAGGAGCGGATGTGCAGGGCTCCAGCCCTCCATGTGTCCCAGCCGCACAGGCACATTTACTCAGACGCGGCTCAGCCAAACGTTAACCGCCAGGAACTCGGGGTGTCCTCCAGCGTTGCCCTCGGCCCTCTGAAGCCACACAAGGCCTCTTAGATTCTGTAACTGCAGTCATACACCTGGCGCCACCTTGGAGCAGACACAGGTGGGCAAGAAGTGAACTGTGCCATCTTCACAGCTGAGGTCCATTTTCATTTGCGCGACCTCAGACTCTTGGGCTCAGCCAGCGGGTTCCCTCTCCTGGGGGCTTGTCTCAGGCGGTGGCTGCTTCGGCATGCAGGGGTTGGAACACATCCAGGCCCTGCCCTCCGCCTCTCCCTCCCCAGCGTCTGCTGAGACGCACTCACCCCCTCCCAGGCCCTGCCCTGATAAATCTCCCAGCACACGCTGCCCCAGATCCCGGCAGTGGTATTTCTGGGGAACCACTCCTTCCCCACCCTCAGTCCGTGGCTCAGCTGGGCCAACCCCACCCCCTGCTCCAGGCCCCAAGATGGCTCAGGTGGACCTGTCTCCTGCAGCTGCCTCAAGCAAGGACCACAAAGTGGGGGGTCAAACAGCAGAGAGGTACTGCTTCGACATTCTGGAGCCTGAGATGAGGGTGTTGGCAGGGCGTGCTCCTCTGCAACTCTGCGGACCTCTCCCTACTTCATCAGCTCTGGCTGATGAAGTCCTGGGCCTGCGGCGACAGCGCTTCAGCCTCTGCCTCCGTCACCTCTCGAGTCCTCACAGGGCGGCGTTTTCTTGTAAGGACACCACTCCATTAGGAGTGGGACCCACCCTGGTGACCTCATCTTTACTGATTACGTCGGCAAATGCTCTATTTCCAAGTAAGGTCGCTTTCCCAGGTACTAGGATGAGGACCTCAGCATGTCTTTTTGCGGGGCACGGTTCAGCTCAGGATAGCAGGCCATTCGATGATGTGCTTTTTCTAGAATTTCGGGAGAGAGGCTCGTGGGCTTTCTCTGTCTGGTTGGCTTCGTGCTGGCCTGGCCCTGCAGATCCTGGCGCTCCGGGCTCCCCAGGCCGGAGCTGCAACCTGATGCTACATGACCCCAACCCCCACCCCATCAGTGCTACCAGCTGAGGTGCCTTTTTATTTTCTGTTTTTAAAGACAGTTTGAGCTGGGTGCTGTGGCTCACACCTCTATTCCCAGCACTTTGGGAGGCCAAGGCAGGTGGATCACCTGAGGTCAGGAGTTCGAGACCAGCTTGACCAACAGAAAGAAACCCCATTTCTCTGAAAGATACAAAATTAGTTGGGCGTGGTGGCAGGCACCTGTAATCCCAGCTACTCGGGAGGCTGAGGCAGGAGAATTGCTTGAACCCGGGAGGCAGAGGTTGCAGTGAGCCGAGACTGTGCCATTGTACTCCAGCCTGGGTAACAAGAGCAAAACTCCCTCTCAAAAAAAAAAAAAAAAAGACAGTTTGAGTTGGGTTTCTGGGGATTGGCTGGAGTCTTGGCTTCACTCATCACTCCAAGGAGCCTCAGGGCCTGGGACCTGCCATGTGGCCACTTCACCAGCTCTGGGAGGGGCCCAGGAGCTCCGCCCAGCTGGGATGGGGGTGCAGGCCCCTCAGATCAGAGTACCCCAACTCTCTGGGCTTTTCTGTCACAGACACCGAGCTGGTCAGTGTGGAAACAGTTATTTTTAGGCCGGGCGTGGTGGCTCAAGCCTGTAATCCCAGCACTTTGGGAGGCCGAGGCGGGTGGATCACAAGGTCAAGAGATCGAGACCATCCTGGTCAACATGGTGAAACCCCGTCTCTACTAAATATACAAAAAATTAGCTGGGCACGGTGGCGCATGCCTGTAATCCCAGCTACTCAGGAGGCTGAGGCAGGAGAATTGCCTGAACCCAGGAGGCGGAGGTTGCGGTGAGTCGAGATCGCGCCATTGCCCTCCAGCCTGGGTAACAAGAGCGAAACTCCGTCTCAAAAAAAAAAAAAAAGTTATTCTTGCCATAATTTTTTTCCTAGTGACTCTTTGGATCTTGCAAAGAAAAGTCACTCCTTATCTCAACTGACACCCCCACTCCCATCAACCCAGGTCTCTGCTGGAGTCGGCCCTCCCTGGGACCCCTCCCTGTGCCAGCCCCTTCCTCCCAGGGGCTCAAAGCTCCCCTGAGAGGAGAAGAACCTCAGTGCCTGCCTGCTGTGCCCATTCGGCCCCTTGTCCTGGGCAAGAGGGGAAGCAGGAGTCCTAGCCCCAGACCCTCCACCCTGCCCCCTCCAGCACCTGTGCCTCCTGCCTCGGCAGACCCCCCAGACCCTGGCGCTGCTCCAGGCCCCATGAGCACATCAGTGTGTCTGTGGTCCACAGCTGCTGTCAGGCACACACAGAGTGTCCACTGGGAGGTCCCTAGGGCTGAGGCTGGGCCAGGGCTGGGGCTGGTCTGGGCTGCGTCTTTGGCGGTGGTCATTTGTGCCTGCCCTCAGGCCATGCACACAGGGTCCTCCTGGGCCTGCATCTGAGCTGGTGCTGGGGCTGCAATGCCCTGAGGGCAGAGAGCTGCAGTGCAGGTGGGGCCAGACCTCCATCCCCAGCCCAGGCCCGGGGCATGAAGCCAGGGAGGAGGGGTATTGGGAGAGGATGTCAGCTTGAATGGGCAAGGAGAGGACAGGAAGAAGGGAGGTTGTGGTAGACAGGTGGCCTGCGTGCAGGTCCCGTGGCAGCAGCCAGGATAAGCCCCAAGCTACAGGGCCATGGGCCCAGCAAGGCAGCTGCTTCTGTGTGTAGGGGCAGGCATGGAGGGCAGGGCCCTCCTGTGATGAGGAAGCCTCCCTGTGGAAAGGGACCCTGTGGCCAGCTGAACTGCCAGGAGCTGGATGTACCTGAAACTCGGAGAGTGGCTGTCAGAGCCCCTGGGGGGTCGGGGTGGCCGTCGTGCCTCAGGGGTCCTGCCGGGTGGGCTCAGCCCAGACCCTGCCCCAGGTGCCAGGCAGGAGAGGCTAGAGGCTACCCTGGCCTCAGTCCTGTGGCCAGCCCCATGGAGGCTCTAACAGAGACCCCACGCGCCCTGCCTGGCTGAGGAGGCGACCCAGGGTGTCAGGACCTTGGGCGCCTGCCCCGCCTCCCCAGGGGAGAAGGGGAGGGGTCATCAGGCCTGACTGACCCAGGCAATGGTGCCTCCCTGGCAGCTGTGCTGGGATGCCCTCCACAGCTCCTGTGGGGCTCACATACTTGGTACCCCTGGGCCTGGGGGTGGGGGTGTCAGTGGGCAGTGTGGGCCATCCAAGGCTGCGGGCCAGAGCAGCCCCTCCCGGGAGAGGCGTCCACCACCCATCCACCCACATCGTGTGCGGCCCGCCCAGCCTGCCTACTCACCCCACCCAGCATTTTCTGATGGAAAGTTCCGCAGGCAACAGCAGCATAAACCCTGTGAAGAAGACGTGCCTGGGCAGGGGTGGGCCTGGGCCCCACAGGCTGGGCAGGCGCTGGCCTCCAGCCCCAGGGACTCCCAGTCTCTGTCCAGGCTGCCTGGAGGCTGAGTCCCTGCTCTCCTTCCTTTCTCCCCGGGGGCAGCACAGTGGCGGGCACAGGGGGTCCTTGGCCTGTGCACCCAATATACAATCCTCTCCTCGGTAGAGGCCAGTGTTGAGGAAGGACTCAATGGTGGGAGGAGCGCCTGCACTGGTGTCTGCTGACCAGCTGACCATAGACACAGCCTGCACCTGCAGGGACCGGGGCACCCACCCCTGCACTGGAAAGTCACCCCCGCCATTGTCAGGCCTGGGAGAGGGGGCTCCAGGCTGAGGAGGGGCAGGTTCATTCCAGGCCTGGGTGGGGGTGGGAAAGGCGTGGCCACAGGGTGGAGGTTCCTGGAATCGAGACCAGCCAGTCTGGGGTGGTGGGAAGTCTTGAATAGGGGCTGTCAGGGCCCTGGGGGTTGGGCAGCTGGGGAATGGAGAGACCATGAGGGTGTGGGTGAGGAGAGAGGGGTTCTTGCGGTCTGCATAGCTGCAGAGGAGGAGGTGGGAGAGCCCACCTGTAGTTCCTCAGTCCCTGGCCCACAGGAATGTGAGCAGTGCCCCCATTTCCCCAGCCCCCAGATCCTCCCAGGGCAGGCCTGGAACCCACCACCAGCAATCCCTCCCTCTGGCCGTCTGCCCAGCAGGGGAGCTCAGTCCGGGTGGGCTGGATGGGTGGGCCCCGGGGGCAGCAAGCTCCTCCAACCCTGGCCCATCCACCTCCCCTGAGGGGCAGGGAACTCAGGGGCAGGGTGAAAAGCCCCTTCCCAGCCCCTCCTGCTCACATGGTTGGGGCCAGGCCCTGGTTTCCCTGGAAGCAAACGGCTGTCAGGAGGCAGGGTAGGGAGGAGAGCGAGGCACCGGCCTGCATCTGGCAGCTGGACTGGCCAAGCTTCGGCCGGGAGGGAAGGCTGGGGCAGGGACATTGGCAAAGGTGGAGCTGACCCCTGGGCTTTGGGCTCCCTGCTGCCCCCAGGCCTGCTGTAGCGGTGGCCACAGAGAGTAAGTCTAAGGACGAGATACCAGCCCCAGCCTTGAGCACAGGGCTGAGGGGCTGGCAGGCCCGGCAGCCTTCTAGGTCCTTTCAGGTCCCCTTGCCCCTCAGAGCTCACCATGGGAAACCCAGCCTCATGGTGGGGCTGCCTGGGGCTGAGAGGAGCCACACAGGGGCTAGGCCCCAAGTCCAGGGAGTCTCTGCCTCCGTTGGTGTTCTGGGGAGCTCCTGGGCCTGGTGGATCCCCCATGCCATTGACGTGACAGAGGGTGGTGATGGAGATGGTGGTAACAGAGGCCGTGAAGCTGGAGCCTGGCGAGGGAGAAGGGCAGCCGGCTCTGGCAAGGCAGCAGCAGCTGGGGTAGGGGTCAGGGCAGCCCCTGGGGCCAAGCCATTCCTCCTGCAGGTGTCCCCGGGGTCCCTGGATGCCCTTCAAAGCTGGCCAGACGGTATGGAGGAGCTCAGGCCTGGCAGGAGTCTCTGTCCCTCATGCTGTGGCAGCCAGCACCCAGCTGCAGGAGCATGAGGTGTAGGGCTGGGTGGCAACACCTTTGGGACCCCCATGTCCTCCTCTGAATCTCAGTGGAGGACTGAATCTCAGTGGCTGAAGCCACTGATGCCTAATGATGCCACTGGGCGTCAGGTCACAGCCGACCCTCCCTGGGGGGTGGGCAGATGGCAGATGCTGGTGGAAGATGTGGCTCTTGTCCCCATGGCCAGTGACCCCTGAGAAGGGCAGTGGTGGGAGGGCTGGACAGAGGCCACCAGCCCCCTGTGCTCAGCTAACCCCCATGTCCCAGCAGCTGCTCCTGTGCCTGCTGTGGGTGAGGGCACCACAGGTGGGTAGAGGCTGCAGGAAGACAGGAGCCCCTCAGAGCTGCATGCACAGTAGGGCTGCCTGGAGCAGCAGGCAGAGGCCAGGTGAGGGGGCATGAGTAGGGAGGGCACCATCGCAGGGAGGGCACCAGTGGCTGCCTGGTCATGGTCCCCAGGTTGAGGCTCCTGGAGCAGCTTGTCCTGGCAGCACAAAGCTTTGGAGTGGCCACCATGCTCTTCTGGCTGTGCCGTGGCAGGGCAGCTGGAGCCTGAGGGCTAGGAGGGGCCATGCAGTGCCTGCAGGTAGATTCAGGCCCAGGGAGGGCTGCAGGCTGGCCCAGGGCTCCACAGCACATGTCCCCAGCACACATGTGCCCCAGCACCTGTCTGCAGCATGTGCGTGGTGGGGCTGTGGCATGGGCCAAGGATTTGAAGGTCCTAGAGACTGGCTGGAGGCTAACGGAGCTGCTCATGGGTAAGGGGGCCCTCAGCCTGGCTGGTTGGCCCCCCAAGGAGTCCTGAGTGCTCTCAGAAAGGCCCCTCCACAGCCCATCCCCCGCCATTCCTTGGGGTGCCATCCTGGTTCAGATGTCTGTGATGTTGCCCCAGGAGAAATGTCCCCAAAGTCCCCAGTCTAAGGCCCATGTACCTGCCCAGACCCCTGACCCCTTTCCCTTGCCCCTGGTTCGACACAGGGTGAAGCTCAGCTGGTGGGGCAGCCACCACAGGGGCACCAGGACTAGGTGAAGCTGACCAGGGATGGCACTGCCTGAGCTCAGTGGGAGCAGCTGCATGCCCAGAGGTCTTCTGAGCCATCATCCCCAGCAGGCCTGGAGGCCCAGCGGAAGCAGCCTCTGAATGTCAAGGACTCATGAACCAGAAGTGGGTATTTGCACCCACCTGGCCAACCCCAGAGGAAGGGTTTCCACCCTGCCTGTGCCCTTTGGGGAGGCTGCAGTTCACAGTCCCGAGGAGCAGGGATGGCTAGGAGTGCCCGAGGGCTTTCAATCCCCAGGCCACACTGCCCAGGATGACGCTAGCTTTCCCCCAGCTGAGGGCCCGGCTGGCCAGTATGGCACGGGGGCAGAGGCAGCTGCCCACCCCGTGGTGGCCCGAGAACAGCACCTCCTACCAGGTGGCCCCGGGGCTGCTGGGTCAGGCTCTGGAGGGTCCCAGGCCCAAAGCTGGCAGTCAGGTGGCACTGTCTCTCCCCAGCTGTGCTTTAGGCAGAGGAGGAATCCTGGGGGAACGCTGGTCAGAGCCTCAGCAGCCGGACATGGGGATGAAGGCCACACGGGAGCCAGGCCACAAACCTGCTGGGGCCTGGGGGGCTGGAGGAGGGGCTTTGGCCAGAAGGCTGCTGCGCCCCAGTCTTGCAGGTGCCTGGGAGGACTGAAGGAGGGAGGAGGTTACCCCGGAGTCCCTGAGGAGAGGAGAGGTGACCACGGGCAGGCTAGACAACCTGGGGCCTCTGAGCTGCTGGGAGGGGCCTAGCCAGAGGACACCCACTCTTTTGGGAAAAGAGCATACAGCAGGGGTGAAGGGAGGCAGGGCAGGCGGTGGGGCGGGGAGTTCTGGTGCTGATTTCACCGCTTGGTTGTCACCCTTCCAACAATCGGAGCCCCCGCGTGACTGTGCCGCTCTCCCATGGGCTCAGAGCTGGAGGTGCAGGTGGCCTTGGCTCCCTCGAAGGTGGGTCTCAGGGCCAGCGCCTCTCAGAACAGCACTGCCAGCCTCTAAGCTGTGTTGGGGGAGGGCATAGCGGGCCCAGGTACCTGGGCATGCCTTCTACCTTTTCTAGCAAGTAGAATTCCCAGTTAAGCCGGTGGCATTGCCATGTATGACTTCCATGTATGTGGCGATTGGAAACATTTACATCTGGAGCAAGACAGGAAAAACATTTAACTCTGAGGTCAAGGTTGGAGCCTCCTGTCCTGTGCTTAGCAAGCTCAAGACCCAAAGTGGGCTATGCCCGGCTCTGCCTTCCTCCCCTTCCTCTCCCCTCTTCCTCCGCCCTCCCTCCCCCTCCCACCCTTTCAATAAAATGGGAGAAGCAGGGCTTGCATGAGGCAGCCTCAGGGTTTGCCTCCCACCCGGACCCTGCAGCCCCCTCTGCCCTTGCTCTCCCTGGCTTATTTCCCTGGCTTGGGGACTGTGAATTTCCTGGGGCTTCTGTAATCAACCATCACCAGTGGGGTGGCTCTAACAACAGTCACGTGTGGACCCTGAGCTCTCCAGGCCAAAGTCTAATCTGGAAAGGGGGGCAGGGCCATTTTCCTTGTGAGGCAAGGCCTGACTCCAGGCCCCACGGTGTCTTCCCTCCACATCTGCACAGCGTCTTCCTCTCTGCAGTCTGCGTTTGTGTCCAATGCCCCGTCTGAAAGCATGCCCACTCCAGCATGACCGCCTCCCAACTCACCGCTTCTGCAGCAACCCTGCTTCCTAGCAAGCTCACGTTCCCGAGGGATCTGGAGTCAGGCCCTTCCTCTCCTGGCCCTGACTGAGCCCTCCGGGGCCCTGGCAGGCAGAGGCTGTACTCCTCACATCAGCTGGCCTCCGAGGCCTGGGCAGCCAGGGCCATCACCCTTGCTGAAGGGGGACAGGGGGTCAGTGCGAGGCACAGCAAGGAGGGTGTAGAGAAAGAGAATTCAGGATGTGGGGGGTTCTCAGGGGGACAGCGACAGCAGGCCTCCGACTCCCAGCCCAGCCCTTCCCCCGCCCTGGAGGCAGGTGTGTCACCAGGCTCCTCTGACGGCAGGTGTCCCCTGAGAGCCATTGGGAGAGCAGCCCATGTGTTTGCTATGAGGGCACCTAGCCTGAGAGGAAGGCCTCCCACCCCCTGTACCCCAGCCTGCAGTTGGAGCTTCGGGCTGCTATGTCCAGGCCCTTGGTGGAGAGGTCAGTCTGCTGCTCAGCTCCGTCCCACCCACTCCCGCAGGGCCCTCTGTCCTTCCTGCGTCTGCCCTGTCTCCTCTCTGGGCCATGTGCCCTGGAGGGAACCCTAGAGGGGGACTCCATGCTCCCAGGTGCTTTATGGAGCTGTGGCAGGCACTCCTGTTTGGGCTGAGCCAGGCCAGGACCCGAGGGACCAACAGGGATCCTGGCCAGAGGCTCCAGCCAGCACAGTGCCTCCACGGACCAGCCCAGGGGCAGTGCTCTTGGGGCTCTGCCCTCTGAGAGCCTCCCTGACCTGCAGGGGGAAGCTAGGTGCCTGTGCCAGGTAGAGGTGGGTAGAGCTGTGGGCAGTACTGGGTATTGGGGCCATCTCGCACCTCCTGACATCCTCCCTGATGCCCTTCCCTGCTGTGTAGGTGCTGTAGGCCCAGGTCTGGGGGCTGGAGGAGTGACCAGTGGCCCCTGAGGAGGTGGTAGCTCCCAGAAGCCCTGACCGGGAGTGGCCCAGGAACTGGAGAGTCAGGGAGGCACCCAGGTTTTCCCCAGAGGTGTCCCCAGAGGTCACTGGACTGGAGGACTCCATGGGGCGGGGGATCTGGAGTCACAGGAAAGTCAGAGCCGAGGGAGAGGAGCGGGGGACAGATGCCAATGGGTGCACCCAGCAGGGCCCACTCTGCGCCGCCTGCCTCCACGAGATGGGTGGGAGCAGCAGGCACGTGGCCCATCCCTGGGCACTTGAGCAGGCTCGGCCTGGCCAGCCTCACGCCCCATTCTTGCAACGAGGGGCTGGCATACACCCAGGTTCTATGGCCTGGCAGGGACCTGGCCTGCAATGGCTCAGCAGAGGGAAGAAGTGGCTCCGGGTGCGCTCCAAGCCACAGGCCACAGCCAGCCCCACCACGCTTCCCAACAAGACTGCACAGTGTCCAGGCATCCACTGAGCAGGGCTGGGGATGGATGAGGTTGGTGTGGCTATGCCTTGGGGGAATGTGGGCCCCACCAGAGCTCTGCTGCCATCAGGGCTCCCAGCAGCCAGCAACAGCCACGCCACATGGCCAGTGTGGTGGATGTGGACAGGGTCCAGGCAGCCTGGGTGAGCAGGTGTGAGTGTGGGCCTGATGGGTGGGTGAGAGCCCAGCCAGGGCAGCGGTCCTGAGCAACCTTACCCCTGAAGGCCTGACCCCTCCCTCCTGTGTCTGTGTGGGCATCTACAAGTGCCCTCATAGTGTGCATTGTAGGTAGCTAGGTGGCTCTAGATGAGTTTCTGGTCAAGAATGACCCAGGTAGAGGTGAGGGCTGGGGCTTGCGGGAAGGGGGCACTTGTAGGGGGTGAGGAGCACCTGAGCCCTCAGGACCTCCAGGACTAGTGGATAGAGGAGGAGGAGCCTTGGGGACAGAGGAGGAGGGGCCTTGGGAACACAGGAGGAGGGGTCTTGGGCCCTGTCCTTCCCTGGCCCTGCCCACCTGGGATCTCAGGGCAGCCAAGGAGAGGGCTCGACAGAAGATCCATGGAAGATTCCCATAAGGCTGAGGCTGCCCCCAGGCCAGCCCCCGAGGCTGTGAGCCTCCATGCCCAGCATCTCCATCAGGCCCCAGCTTTGGAAGGTGGGTGCCAGAATGGGCTTCAGAGACAGGGTCAGGTACTCCCAGGGTGACAGGGGGCATTCTCTGAGCCCGGATGGAGGGGGTGAGGCCTGGCACTGCTGCCACACAGGACACAGAGACCCCAGGTCTTACAACCTCATGGGGGATGAGGGGTCCGCCAAGGAGAGCCTCGAAAACCCCTGGACCCAGCAGACAGAGGACGCGAACCCGTGTTCCAGGGGGCTGAGCAGACAAGAGCGGCGTCGGGGCTGGAGGCAGCGACACCAGCCGCATGGCAAGCAAGTAAGTGGCCTGTGGGGAGGCAGCCGCTGCTGGGGCCAGTCCACGCTTCCCTCCAAATGCCTTTCTTTAAAAAAAAAAAAAAAAAAAAAAAAAAAGCTGTTCTGAAGCGCGCAGGACGCCCCGACCTGCGGCCCGTTCCTCGGCGGTGACCACCTGCCGGGGCGGGGAAAGGAAGGAGTCCTGGCGGCGGGGCCCTGGCTCCTGCCCGGCCGCGCGGGGTTTTCGGCCCCCGCCCGCCCCACCCCGCGTCGGGACCCACCCCGCATCGGGACCCACCCCGCGTCGGGACCCACCCCGCGTCGGGACCCACCTGGACGCCGCCCTCGACGGGGCGGGGCCTGCGCGGCTTGAAATGCGGGCGGCGCGGGCGGCGGGTCACTGCGGACGCCACGGCGAGCGGGCAGGTGCGTCAGGTGCGGGCAGGTGCGGCAGGTGCGGGGTGGGCACGGGGAATCCCAGACTCCCGCGGGAGCCGTATGCCGAGGCCGGGGTGGGGGCGCGGCTTGGGCTCCAGGGGACCAGCAGGCGCCCAGCCTTGGGCGTTTGAGCTCGGAGGCCCCTCTCTGAGTCCCGGGCGCCCGCCCCGACCCGTCCTGGGAGAGGCGGCCACGGGTGGGGGATCTCATGGGCCCAGCGGTTTCCTGGCAGCGAGCGCTGGTCCGGGCAGGCTCTGCAGGGTGGGGAACGCCCAGGCCAGGAGGCAGCTAGGCCGACACATTGAGAGGGGTGGCTCCTGGCAACATTGCCGGAGGGAGGCGTCACTCACCCGGGGGAGCTGCCTGCATTGGGTGAGCAGTCCCTGGGTGGCCCCTGCGGTCAGGCCAGTGGTCACGGGTTGCCTGGAGACCCCTGGGAGGCGGAGGCAGGAAGGGTCCTGCTTGGCTCCAGGGCTCTGCTTCCCTGCTCCTCCACCCGGCTGCCCTGTACCAAGCTTGTTATTGGGGTCTGATCTCTGACTGTGGTGCAGGATGCAGGTGGGTGGTGTCTTCCCAAAAGGGCACAGACCCGGGCAGAGGCCAAGGCTGCCGCCTCCTGTGTGGGCCAGGCAGGGTCTGTCCTGACCCAGCTCAGGCAGGCAGCTGCAGCCGCCCTTGTCCCAGGCTGCAACGGGGACCTGCTGGGCAGTCTGGTGACAGACAGTGACCTCTCCCAAGAGGTGCAGACCCCCCTTCCTCAGGAATGGCCCTCCATCACAGGTGCCTGGGGGCCACCTGAGGTGGGGAATCTGCAGGAGTGGTCTTTTGTGCCTCAGACTCTGGGGAAATCTGCTCAACCTCCTCCCCACCCCATCACTCCCCATGCTCACCTGGGCGGCAGCCACCTCCTCTGGATGCCCCCACACTCGAAGCTGCCCTCCCACCCCTGTCTGGCTCCAGGCTCTCCAATCCACCTACCCTCCCCAGGCCACACTTGGAGTCAGGAGCCCTCTCCTGGGCCTTCTTCCTGCCCAGCCCGGGAAGGGGCAGGGCCCAGGAGGGCTCATGCCACGCCCAAGGTCACGGAGGAAGAGACAGGGAGTGGCGCAGCCAGCCACAGTCCGCATCTCACGCATGGTTCGGGCGTGCACTGGCTGGCACACACACACGCAGGGCACGCCTGCCCCCAACTCCCTGCTGCAAGCACCCGGTCTCTCTAGCCTTCCTCCCTGAATCTCCTCTTTGTTTGGGGAACTGGCGCCACTGGCCTAGCTTCTTCGGCCCACATAGCATGTGGCCGGTCTGGGCTGGCTGCCCGAGCCCAGGTCGAGGGCTGCTCAAGGTGCTGTCCCCACCCTCCCCAACCCCCCCACCCCATCCCTGCCAAACTCAACACATGCATTTTGGACCTGGCTGCTACCCACCTCCACAACACAGGCTATGGAGGCTCCCCTCTCCAGTAACAGGGTTCTGCTCTGTCTTCCTTCACCCATTAAATCTGAGACCTCCTCCCACCTACCAGTGGGCACTGCCCCTCCCCCTTGCTGGGAAGTCAGGTGCTTCTCTCATCTCCCCACCTCCATCCCCACCCAGATGTCAAGGGATGGGGCAGGGCCCTGACCCACCAGAAGCCTGGCCTGGATGCTGTAGTGAGTGGCTCGCTCCGGCTCACACACCCGGGGGTCTGGAATGAGGTGGCTGGAGAGGGCCCAGCACTAGGGGAGGCAGGCTGGGTTCCTGGAAGCAGAGTCTGATGTAGGGGTCACCAGGGAGTTGTCTCAGGATGACATCAGGAAGGGAAGGGAGGAGGAAGCAGGGTGGATAAAGGAGAAGCTGGCCTGTCCCACCATCTCATGCGCCCCCTGAGAAGGCCACCCCAGACAGGCTGTGCCCTTGAACCTAGCCTCTTCCTGGGGAAGTACAGAAAGTTCTCAGTGAGGACCTGGCCCCTGGGGCCACCTCCCTGTACTCCAGGTCAGATGCCCTCAACCCGGGCATGCCTGCTGGCTCAGGACCTGTCAGGTGTGACCAGATCCTCTTCTGTGAGGGTCCCCTCTAGGGCTGGGGGTGATGTTTCATTGACCATGAGAACCAGGCAGGACAGACCAGGTGCCTGAGCACTGCCTGCCCCTCTCTGTAGTGCCTCTTTCTGCTGCCCAGGCCTGCCTCCTGCCAGATGGGCGCCTCCTCCTGGCTGCTTGCTCCTGGGACGTGACAGTCTGGAGTGGCCTGGGAGCAGCATAGCTTTTGACTCAGTGACACTAGCTATGTCCCCTGGCAGAAGTGTTCCCCCTCAGGGACCAGGATAGCTGAGCCCACCCACCGCAGAGCTATGGGGCTGAGGAGCCCAAGCACCATCATGTCCATCATGGGTCAGTGGGAGATGGTGGGTGGGCCACTGTGGCTGCCAGGCCTTGGTTCCTGGGGAACCCTGTGGCCCACCTCCTGGGACACACGCATGGGACGCCAGGTTTTGGAGTGGTATAGCTGGCTTCCTGGGGAATGGTGCCCAGCCTGCAAGGTGTCACTGGGGAGCTGGCACTCCAGCTGTACCTTCCAGAAGTCATTCAGGCCAGCAGATTCTGGCTGGGGCAGATCGTGGTGTCACCAGCAGGTCCATGGCCAGTTGCACCGTGATGACAAGTGCCCAGGCATCCCTGTGGCCCATCGGCCACCTGCCCTGATGTCTGTAGCCTTTGGGGAGCTTTCTCCAGTGCTGGCTGTTTAACAGCAGCCCACTCTGTGGTCCTCTGCATCCGCCACATCTTCTCAGCCACATGACACTGCATCCTGAGCACAGCCCCTCAGGACAGCTGAGCTGCAGCACTGCTCCCTGGAGCCCTGGCTCTCTGCGCTCGGCCAGTGGGGTGGTGGTGAGCCCTCCCGGCCCTGGCTCCGTGTCTGAGGCTCCGATCAGCCCGGCAGCAGCAGAATGCCCTGAGGAGCCCCAGGACCAGTATCTGCAGAAGGGAGGGGAGGGGGCTAGGGTTTTGCCATGGTGGGGAGATGGGCCGCAGTTTTAACAGGCAGCCCTGAAGAGGGGCATCGATAAGCCTCGACAGCCCTCAGAGTTTCCCCTGGAGCATGCCCTTCGTGGGACCAGATGTGGGGAGAGGGGACAGGGAGGACCCAGCACTTTCTAGGGTTAAGCTCTGAGTGTTCAGAGGACGAGCAGTGTGGGGTGCCGGTGAGACCTCCAGGAGGCAGCTGGGCACATGGTTTTGGGACCCAGGATAGGCTGGGCTCTTGCTGCCAATTTGGGAGGCTGAGGGTAGGTGGGAGGAGGTCTCAGATTTAATGGGTGAATGAAGATGGAGCAGAATCCTGTTACTGGAGAGGGGAGCCTCCATAGCCTGTGTCTCGGAGGTGGGTGGCAGCCAAGTCCAAAATGCATGTGTTGAGTTTGGAAGCCGTGGGTGGCGGCTGCCTCAAGAGCTGTGGAGAGTGGGAGTGGGGCTCAAACGTGGGGTCCGACCCTTCTCCTGAGACCCCTTGTAGAGGTACGGAAAGGTGGGCATGGGCAGGCTGCTGAACAGGGAGGATCCAGCTGGAATGAGGGTGAGAACCAAGAGGGGGTCTGGGGCCCGTGGTGCTGAGAAAACGGGGAGCAGACCCTACTCCTGGGTGGGTGGGCACAGGGGAGCAGACCCTAGTCCTGGGTGGGTGGGCACAGGCGTGCAGAACCTACAGGGGCTTAAAGAGCAGGAACTTGCTGTCACAGCTCTGGAGGCCAGAAGCCAGTACGTGAGGAGTGGGCACGGCCACGCCCCCTCCGGAGCTGGAGGGGAGGATCCTTCCTGCGTCTTCCAGCTTCTGGGGCCACGGGCGTCCTGGGAATTCTTTGCCTGTAGATCCAGTCTCTGCCTCTCTGTCTTCTCCCTGTGTGTCTGTCTTCTTACTTTTTTTTTTTAATGTTTTAATTTTGAGACAGAGTCTCGCTCTGTTACCCCAGGCTGGAGTACAGTGGTACAATCTTGGCTGAAACCCCCGCCTCCCGGATTCTCCTGCCTCATCCTCCCAAGTAGCTGGGTTTACAAGCATCTGCCACCACACTAGGCTAATTTTCGTATTTTTGGTAGAGACAGGATTTCACCGTGTGGTCAGGCTGGTCTCTAACTCTTGACCTCAGGCGATCCACCCACCTTGGCCTCAAACAGTGCTGGGATGACAGTTGTGAGCCACTGCATGTGGCTGTTGTCTGTCTCTTATAAGGACACTGGTTACATTGGGTGAGAGCCAGCCTAGCCTGGTATGACCACACCTTGACTGGATGACATCCGCAAAGATTCTATTTCCAAATAAGGTCACATTCTCAGGGACTGTAGATTAGGACTTACACATACCTTTCATGCAATCCAACCTGGTGTAGAAGGGGACGGGCCTGGGTGGAGGCGGCTGACGTGCAGGAAGGGGGAGATGGGGGTAAGGTACCTGCGCCCTGCTCGGCCAGTTGCACAGCTGTGGATGGAAAGGGTCAGCACAGGGCATGCTGGGGCTGCAGCCAAAGGACCAGGGCCCATGGTGGGAGAGAGCCTTGCCTCGCCTGCACACGGCTCCTGGCAGGACTAACATGTGAGCTGTGGCCCCCAGGGCAGGGTGTGGGCTCAGAGGGGCAACAGCCCAGAGGCCATGGTGCTGAGGGATGTGAGATCTAGCACAGGCAGAGGAGGGTGCAGGTCCAGGCCGAGGCAGGAGACGGGTTCAGAGGGCAGGATTCTCGCTGGAGCCTGGTGCGTGGCTGTGGAGGGAGGGCAGGGCCTTAGGAGCCAGCAGGAGGTGGCAGAGGCTTCTCTGGGGTGACAGGTCCCAGTGGGGTGGGAGGTTTCAAGAAGTCACTGGAGCTAGGATGGGGCAGGGCATGGGGCAGAGCCTTTGGAGAACAAGAGAGGAGCTCAGAGGTGGGAAGATGCTGGAGCCCCGGCTGAGGGGCAGGCCCTGAGAATGGAGCCCCAGCCCCCATGGAGCAGGGCTGGGCCCCTCAGGCAGGGTTGGGGACTGGGGTGCCCAGGAAGGACCCAAGGGCACAGGGCCCTGGGCTGGCAGGAGGGCATTGGCCTGGGGTGGAGGTCAAAGGACAGCCCGCAGGAGGGACAGCCCTGGAGTCCCGAGAGGCTTCTGGCGGCCAGGCTGGGTCCCTGCGCTCTGTGCTCGCCCTGTCCCTCTGAGCTTGCACTTCTGTGGGACTTCTGAGGGGGCGCTCCCAGGCAGACTCAGCTCCTCAGGGACACTCTGGCTACAGGCCTGTGGGTGGAGCTCAGCCCGGGATAGCATGGGATTGGCCCCATGAACACATCTTCCCTCCCGCCCACCAGGCCACGCAGGGTCCCTGACTGAGCCTTTCTGTCCCCTGCAGGACAGGGGTGGACCTTGGCAGGCTCCGCATGACCAGCTGCGTGTGAGGAGCAGCTTTCAGCTCCCGGGCACCAACAGCACGGAGCAGGCCAGTGAACCCAGAGCCATGGCAGCCAAGCTGGGAGCCGGCACAGCCCCCAGGCCCCAGGCCAGGAGCATAGCTGGGGTGTATGTGGAGGCCTCGGGCCAGGCCCAGAGTGTCTACACTGCCATGGAGCGGGGTCTTCTGCCCGCTGGGCTCGGGCTGGCTCTGCTAGAGGCCCAGGCAGCCACTGGGGGCCTGGTGGATCCTTCCCAGGGCCAGCTGCTCCCTGTGTCTGAGGCCCTGCAGCGGGGCCTGGTGGGGCTGGAGCTGAAGGAGAAGCTGCTGGCCGCTGAGCGTGCTGCTACAGGCTACCCTGACCCCTACGGGGGTGAGAAGCTGCCCCTCTTTCAGGCCATCGGGAAGGAGGTTGTGGACAGAGCCCTGGGCCAGAGCTGGCTAGAGGCCCAGCTGGCCACTGGGGGCCTGGTGGACCCTGCCCGTGGAGTGCGCATGGCCCCTGAACAAGCCTGCCAGCAGGGCCTCCTGGACCGGGAGACGTGGCACAAGCTGTCAGAGCTCCAGCCTGGCACAGGCATCCTGCACTTCCTCGACCCCAACACGCTGGAGCGGCTGACATACCACCAGCTGCTGGAAAGGTGTATACGGGCCCCTGGCTCAGGGCTGGCCCTGCTGCCCCTCAAGATCACCTTCCGCTCCGTGGGCGGGGCAGTGAGTGCAGCCGAGCTGCTGGAGGTGGGCATCCTGGATGAGAAGGCTGTGCAGGGTCTGCAGGAGGGCAGGCTGCTTGCAGCGGACGTGAGTGCATGGACCAAGGTGCGGTGCTACCTGGAGGGTACCGGCAGTGTGGCCGGGGTCGTCCTGCTGCCCGAAGGCCACAAGAAGAGCTTCTTCCAGGCTGCCACTGAGCACCTGCTCCCGATGGGCACCGTGCTGCCACTCCTAGAGGCCCAGGCTGCCACCCACACCCTAGTGGACCCCACCACAGGCCAGCGGCTGTGGGTGGACGAGGCAGTCAGGGCAGGCCTGGTCAGCCCAGAGCTCTACGAGCAGCTCCTGGTGGCTGAGCAGGCTGTGACAGGGTACCACGACCCCTTCAGTGGCTCCCAAATCCCCCTCTTCCAGGCCATGAAGAAGGGGCTAGTGGACAGGCCGCTGGCACTGCGGCTCCTGGATGCCCAGCTGACCACAGGAGGGCTGGTCTGTCCGGTACGTAGGCTCCGGCTGCCCCTGGAGGCCGCCCTGCATTGCGGCTGCCTGGATGAAGACACTCAGCGACAGCTCTCAGGGGCTGGTGGCTTCTCAGACCCTGGCACACACGGCGGCCTGCGCTATGAGCAGCTACTGGCCCGCTGTGTCACTGACCCTGACACTGGGCTTGCTTTCCTGCCGCTCTCAGGGGGGCCCAGGGAACGGGAGCCCCAGGGACCCCCATTCATCATGCATAGTACTCGGCAGGCCCTGAGTTCAGCCACAGCCACCATCTCCGTGGGGAAGTTCCAGGGCCGGCCTGTGTCCCTCTGGGAGCTGCTCTTCTCTGAGGCCATCTCCGCAGAGCGGAGGGCGATGCTGGCCCAGCAGCACCAGGAAGGAACCCTCTCTGTGGAGGAGCTGGCTGCTGAGCTGACTGCCACCCTCGAGCAGGCTGCAGCCACTGCCAAGGTCACCTTTTCTGGGCTGAGGGACACTGTGACACCAGGAGAGCTACTCGAAGCTGAGATAATCGACCAGGACCTGTACGAGCAGCTGGAACATGGGCAGGCCACAGCCCAGGATGTGAGCACCCTGGCCTCCGTGCAGAGGTACCTGCAGGGCACTGGCTGCATTGCAGGCCTGCTGCTGCCCGGCTCCCAGGAGCGCCTGAGCATCTATGAGGCCCGACGCAAGGGACTCCTCCGACCCGGCACCGCCCTCATCCTCCTGGAGGCGCAAGCCGCCACAGGCTTCATCATCGACCCGAAAGAAAACAAGGCACACTCCGTGGAGGAGGCGCTGAGGGCCGGTGTCATTGGGCCCGATGTGTACGCAAAGCTGCTGTCGGCCGAGCGTGCCGTCACCGGCTACACCGACCCCTACACCGGGCAGCCCATCTCCCTCTTCCAGGCCATGCAGAAGGGCCTCATCGTGCGGGAGCATGGCATCCGCCTGCTGGAGGCCCAGATAGCCACGGGCGGCGTCATCGACCCCGTGCACAGCCACCGCGTGCCCGTGGACGTGGCCTACCAGCGCGGCTACTTCGATCAGATGCTGAACATGATCCTGGTGGATCCCAGCGACGACACCAAGGGCTTCTTCGACCCCAACACACATGAGAACCTCACGTACCTGCAGCTGCTGGAGCGCTGCGTGCACGACACCGAGACAGGCCTGTACCTTTTGCCACTCGGCAGCACGCAGTGCCCGCTGGTGGACAGTGCCACCCGGCAGGCCTTCCAGAACCTGCTGCTCTCTGTGAAGTACGGGCGGTTTCAGGGGCAGAGGGTCTCTGCGTGGGAGCTGATCAACTCTGAGTACTTCAGCGAGACCCGTAGGAGGCAGCTGCTGCATCGCTACCGGCAGCGTGAGGTCACGCTGGGGCAGGTGGCCCAGCTGCTGGAGGCTGAGACGCAGAGGCAGGCGGATGTCACACTACCTGCACTGCGGGGCCGGGTCACTGCCCACCAGCTCCTGGAGGCGCGTATCATCGACCAGCAGCTGTTGGACCAAGTGCTGGCTGGGACGGTCAGCCCCGAGGACCTCCTCCTCATGGATGGCGTCTGCAGGTACCTGTGTGGCGTGGGAGCTGTCGGCAGTGTGAGGCTGCTGCCCTCCGGCCAGCGGCTTAGCCTCTACCAGGCCATGAGGGAAAAGCTGCTGGGGCCCAGTGTGGCCCTGGCCCTGCTGGAGGCCCAGGCAGCCACCGGAGCCATTGTGGACCCTCACAGCCTGGAGAGCCTCTCAGTGGACGAGGCTGTGCGCAGGGGTGTGGTGGGGCCGGAGCTTTATGGCAGGCTGAAGCGGGCTGAGGGTGCCGTCACTGGCTTCAGAGACCCCTTCTCTGGGAAGCAGGTGTCCCTGTTCCAGGCCATGAAGAAAGGGCTCATCCCTTGGGACCAAACTGCCCGCCTCCTGGAGGCTCAGGTGGCCACAGGAGGGGTCATCGACCCCATGGGCCACTACCACCTCCCCATGCCCGTGGCCATTCAGCGTGGCTGTGTCGACCAGGAGATGGAGACGGCCTTGTCCAGCTCCTGTGAGACCTTCCCCACGCCAGACGGCCGGGGGCGCACCAGCTATGCCCGGCTCCTGGAGCAGTGCCCCAGGGATGAGACTTCTGGCTTTCATCTCCTGCCCTTGCTAGAGAGTACTCCTGCCCTCCCCACTGAGGAGCAGGTCCAGAAGAGCCTGCAGGCAATGCCGGGCACCGAGGACGGCACATCCCTCTGGGACCTGCTCAGCTCCTGCCACTTCACTGAGAAGCAACGGAGGGCCCTGCTGGAGGACGTGCAGGAGGGGAGGACAACTGTGCCAGAGCTGCTGGCCTCTGTGCAGACATGGATACAGGAGACCAAGCTCCTGGCCCAGGCCCGCATCACAGTGCCCGGCCCGCGGGGTGAGGTCCCTGCCGTCTGGCTGCTGGATGCTGGCATCATCACCCAGGAGACCCTTAAGGCCTTAGCTCAGGGCACGTGGTCACCCACCCAGGTGGCTGAGCAGCCAGCAGTGAAGGCCTGCCTGTGGGGCACAGGTTGCGTGGCTGGTGTGCTGCTGCAGCCCTCCGGGACCAAGGCCAGCATCGCCCGGGCCATGAGGGATGGCCTCCTGCCTGCCGGCCTGGGCCAGAGGCTGCTGGAAGCCCAGGTGGGGTCGGGCTCCCTTGTCGACCCCCTGACAAACCAGAGACTGTCAGTGGAGGATGCTGTTAAGGTCGGCCTGGTGGGCAGGGAGCTGAGTGAGCAGCTCAGGCAGGCCGAGAGGGCAGTGGCCGGGTACCCAGACCCCTACTCCGGGGGCTCCCTCTCGCTGTGGCAGGCAATGGAGAAGGGACTTGTGCCGCAGAACGAGGGCTTCCCCCTCCTGCAGGTGCAGCTGGCCACGGGGGGTGTGGTGGACCCTGTCCATGGGGTGCACCTGCCCCAGGCAGAAGCCTGCAGACTTGGCCTTCTAGACACAGAGACGAACCGAGTGCTGACTGCGGATGACGAGGACAACAAGTTCTTCTTTGACCCCAGCGCACAGGACCAGGTGACCTACCAGGAGCTCAGGGAGCGCTGTGTGCACGATGCTGAGACCGGTCTGTTGCTGCTGCCCCTGCCCTCGGACACAGCGCTTGAGGTGGATGACCACACTGCAGTGGCTCTGAGGGCCATGAAGGTGCCTGTCAGCACGGGGAGGCTTCAGGGCTGTAGCGTGTCACTCTGGGACCTGCTGCGCTCTGAGTACGTTGGTGCTGAGAAGCGGCAGGAGCTGGTGGCACTCTGTCGGTCTGGGAGGGCCGCAGCCCTACGGCAGGTGGTCAGCGCGGTCACTGCCCTGGTGGAGGCTGCGGAGAGGCAGCCCCTGCAGGCCACTTTCAGAGGGCTCCGGAAGCAGGTGTCAGCCAGGGACCTGTTCAGGGCACAGCTGATCAGCAAGAAGACGCTGGACGAGCTGAGCCAGGGGGCGACGACTGTGATGGAGGTGGCGGAGATGGACAGTGTGAGGCGGTCCCTGGAGGGCGGCAACTTCATTGCCGGGGTCCTTGTCCAGGGCACCCAGGAGAGGATGAGCATCCCAGAAGCCCTGAGGAGGCACATCCTGAGGCCTGGCACGGCCCTGGTGCTGCTGGAGGCGCAGGCGGCCACTGGCTTCATCATCGACCCCATGGAGAACCGGAAGCTGACCGTGGAGGAGGCGTTCAAGGCAGGGATGTTTGGCAAAGAAACCTACGTGAAGCTGCTGTCTGCCGAGCGCGCCGTCACCGGCTACACCGACCCCTACACCGGGCAGCCCATCTCCCTCTTCCAGGCCATGCAAAAAGGCCTCATCGTGCGGGAGCATGGCATCCGCCTGCTGGAGGCCCAGATCGCCACGGGCGGCATCATCGACCCTGTGCACAGCCACCGCGTGCCCGTGGACGTGGCCTACCAGCGCGGCTACTTCAACGAGGAGATGAACCGCGTCCTGGTGGACCCCAGTGATGACACCAAGGGCTTCTTCGACCCCAATACACACGAGAACCTCACGTACCTGCAGCTGCTGGAGCGCTGCGTGGAGGATCCCGAGACGGGCCTGTACCTGCTACAAATTGTAAAGAAGGGCGACACCTACATGTACATCGATGAGGCCATGAGACACGTGCTGCTATCCAGAACTGCAAAAATGCGCGTGGGGAGGTTTGCTGACCAGGTGGTCTCTTTCTGGGACCTGTTGTCCTCTCCATACTTCACAGAGGACAGGAAGCGGGAGCTGATCCAGGCATATGGAACCCAGAGTGGGGGCCTGGAGAAATTGCTGGAAATCATCACCACGACAATTGAAGAAACAGAGATGCAAAACCAAGGCATCAAGGTGGCGGCCATCAGAGGGGAGGTGACAGCCGCAGAGCTGTTCAACTCCGGGATCATCGATCAGAAGACCCTCCACATGCTTCGTGCAGGGAAGACTGGGGGGCAGGTGCTCAGCACGCTGGAGTGCCTGAAGCCCTACCTAGAAGGCAGTGGCTGCATCGCAGGGGTGATGGTGCCCTCCACCACAGAGACCGTGAGCCTCCATGAGGCCAGCAGGAAGGAGCTCATCCCTGTAGCATTTGCAACCTGGCTGCTAGAGGCGCAGGCCGCCACTGGTTTCCTTCTGGACCCCTGCACCCACCAGAGGCTCACTGTAAATGAGGCTGTGGTTGTGGGCCTGGTGAGCCAGGAGCTACGTGACAGGCTCCTGAAGGCCGAGAGGGCTGCCACGGGCTACAGGGATCCGGCCACGGGAGACATGATACCACTGTTCCAGGCCATGCAGAAGCAGCTCATCGGGAAGGCAGAGGCGCTGAGGCTGCTGGAGGTGCAGGTGGCCACGGGGGGTGTCATCGACCCACGGCACCACTACCGGCTCCCACTGGAAACAGCCTACAGGCGGGGCTGCCTGCACAAGGACATATATGCACTCATTTCTGACCAGAAGCACATGAGGAAACGGTATGTGGACCCAAACACGCAGGAAAAGGTCTCGTACCAAGAATTGCAGCACAGGTGTCACCGGCAAAAGGACACTGGTTGGCTACTCTTCCCAGTGGCCAAGGATGCACAGGACTCCCAGTACATTAATGATGCGACACGAAGGGCCCTGGAGGCAGAGCAAGTGGACATAACAGTGGGCAGGTTCAGAGGCCAGAAGCCCACACTGTGGACACTGCTGAACTCGGAATACGTGACGGAGGAGAAGAAGCTCCAGCTGGTGAGAATGTACAGACTGGACACGAGTCGGGCACTGCAGAAGGCAGCACAGCTGATCTCAGACATGATTGAGAAGCAGGAAAAGGGCAGCAAACAGCTGTGGTTCCCAGGGATCAGAGGACAAATCACAGCCTCAGAACTCCTAAGCTCAGGCATCATCACAGAAGAAATGCTGCAGGACTTGGAAACTGGGCGGAGCACAGTGCAACAGCTCAGGAAGGACAAGCGAGTCAAGCGCTACCTGGAGGGCACCAGCTGCATCGCGGGCGTCCTGGTGCCCGCCAAGGATGAGCCGGGCCGCCAGGAGAAAATGAGCATCTACCAGGCCATGTGGAAGGGCGTGCTGCGGCCCGGCACGGCCCTGGTGCTGCTGGAGGCGCAGGCGGCCACCGGCTTTGTCATCGACCCCGTGCGCAACCTGAGGCTGTCCGTGGAGGAGGCCGTGGCCGCGGGCGTGGTGGGCGGCGAGATCCAGGAGAAGCTGCTGTCGGCCGAGCGCGCCGTCACCGGCTACACCGACCCCTACACCGGGCAGCAGATCTCCCTCTTCCAGGCCATGCAGAAGGACCTCATCGTGCGGGAGCACGGCATCCGCCTGCTGGAGGCCCAGGTCGCCACGGGCGGCGTCTTCGACCCCGTGCACAGCCACCGCGTGCCCGTGGACGTGGCCTACCGGCGCGGCTACTTCGACGAGGAGATGAACCGCGTCCTGGCGGACCCCAGCGACGACACCAAGGGCTTCTTCGACCCCAACACGCACGAGAACCTCACGTACGTGCAGCTGCTGCGACGCTGCGTGCGCGACCCGGACACCGGGCTCTACATGCTGCAGCTGGCCGGCCGGGGCTCCGCCGTACACCAGCTGAGCGAGGAGCTGCGCTGTGCCCTGCGTGACGCCCGCGTGACGCCGGGCTCGGGCGCCCTCCGGGGCCAGAGCGTCTCCGTCTGGGAGCTCCTCTTCTACCGCGAGGTGTCCGAGGGCCGGCGACAGGACCTGCTGAGCAGGTACCGGGCGGGCACGCTGACCGTGGAGGAGCTGGGCGCCACCCTCATTTCGCTGCTGGCGCAGGCTGAGGCTGAGGCCGGGGCCGGGAGTCCGCGCCCAGACCCCCGGGAGACCCTGCGCGCAGCCACCATGGAGGTCAAGGTGGGCCGCCTCCGGGGGCACGCGGTGCCCGTGTGGGACGTGCTGGCATCCGGCTACGTGAGCGGGGCCGCCCGGGAGGAGCTGCTGGCCCAGTTCGGCTCGGGGACGCTGGCCTTGCCCGCGCTGACCCGCCGGCTGACCGCCATCATCGAGGAGGCCGAGGAGACACCGGGGGACCGGCAGGAGCTCCAGGACGCCTCGCGTGGCCCCGGGGACCCGGGGCCAGCCGGGCAAGGGGACGGTGACTCAGGGCGCTCCGCGGGCGAGGCCGAGGCTGCCCGCCACCAGGAGCAGAGCCTGCGTGGCGCCACCATGGAGGTGCAGCGCGGGCAGTTCCAGGGGCGGCGGGTCTCCGTGTGGGACGTCCTCTTCTCCTCGTACCTGAGCGAGGCCCGCCGAGACGAGCTCCTGGCCCAGCACGCGGCCGGCGCCCTGGGCCTGCCCGACCTCGTCGCCGTCCTCACCCAGATCATCGAGGAGACCGAGGAGCGGCTCAGCAAGGTGTCCTTCCGCGGCCTGAGGCGCCAGGTGTCCGCCTCCGAGCTGCACACGTCCGGGATCCTGGGCCCCGACACCCTGCGGGCCCTGGCCCAGGGCACTAAGACCCCGCAGGAGGTGACGGAGATGGACTCGGTCAAGCGCTACCTGGAGGGCACCAGCTGCATCGCGGGCGTCCTGGTGCCCGCCAAGGATGAGCCGGGCCGCCAGGAGAAAATGAGCATCTACCAGGCCATGTGGAAGGGCGTGCTGCGGCCCGGCACGGCCCTGGTGCTGCTGGAGGCGCAGGCGGCCACCGGCTTCGTCATCGACCCCATGCGCAACCTGAGGCTGTCCGTGGAGGAGGCCGTGGCCGCGGGCGTGGTGGGCGGCGAGATCCAGGAGAAGCTGCTGTCGGCCGAGCGCGCCGTCACCGGCTACACCGACCCCTACACCGGGCAGCAGATCTCCCTCTTCCAGGCCATGCAGAAGGACCTCATCGTGCGGGAGCACGGCATCCGCCTGCTGGAGGCCCAGGTCGCCACGGGCGGCGTCATCGACCCCGTGCACAGCCACCGCGTGCCCGTGGACGTGGCCTACCGGCGCGGCTACTTCGACGAGGAGATGAACCGCGTCCTGGCGGACCCCAGCGACGACACCAAGGGCTTCTTCGACCCCAACACGCACGAGAACCTCACGTACCTGCAGCTGCTGCAGAGGGCTACTCTTGATTCTGAGACTGGGCTCCTATTTCTTTCTGTTTCTCCACAGTGACTGTGCTCCCGTTATGAACTTTTTGCATCTCTCGACAAGATGAGGCATAATTTTCTTCTTTTTTTTTCTTCATATTTTTTCATGTTGTTGTTTTCCCATCAGTTATGCATGGAAATTATTTCAAGGTATCATTCATTGTGAGTGGAGTTTGTCTTTTCCTGTCAATGTCTTTCCCAACTGATTTTCTGGTTTTTCTATGGCCCTCTTGCTTTCATATGGTTTCACTTTCACTGCTTTTTTTTCCCACAACATTTTTGTGCTTGTTTCGGATTCAGTTGTGCCTTTTTAAGGAAGGTTACTGTAGACTCTCCGTCCATCATGTCAAGCGGTACAGCTTTGTTGTGGGGGTAATTTTCATAAATGGACTGTTTTCCCTTATGTTGTGCTGGTCATATTCACGGTGAAACCCATTTTTCATCAGTCAGTGTCTACTACTTCATGCTCTGGCTCAGTTTGCTTCCTCCAGTGCCTTCCCGCTCCCTGCTGTGCTTGCCAAGAGCAGGGGCAGGATTCCCTCTCCTGGCTGCTGCTTCACTTTATAGGTGTGACCTCACCAGCGTTTACTGGGTGACTGTTGTGGAGAAATACCTATGGTGGCAGTTTACAAAGAGAAGTGCTGGACAGGTAAAATATGAATGAAAGTTTTGTTTTTGATTTCAAATTTTTGAAGGTTCAGTCACCAGTGTTTATACCCTGAATATCCAGATAGATAGTACATTACACAAGTGAAGCAAGCCATCCAAAACCCAGGGTTCCTAGAGCCCTATCTCAGAATCGTATCCACATAGGCTGTGGGGAAGTCATGCTCAAAGATTCCTGGGACAAGGTGAACGGACTTTCGTTATTAATGGAAGAGTGGCAGTTGGAGCAGGTGACAAAGAAGCCCTGCCAGTCCCGCTTCATTCACTCCACACATGGGTTGCCCACGGCATCTGGGTGGCTTGCTCTCCAACGGTAGCAGCACGCAGAAGAATCCAGGTGTGCTGCCCAGTGGCTGTGTGTGGCTTGGCTTTCTGGGGGCCTGCAGGCTGGGCGTGGGCACCATGGAGGACAGTCCCTGTGCTCGGCTGGCTGGAGCAAGGACAGACTAAGAGGACAGGGCTTGGACATTGTGGATGAAGAGCCAGTGGCCTCAGGGCAGAAATGACATCTGGGTAACTCATCAAAATGTGCCTTCCAGGCCCTGGAGAAAATCTCTGCCAGGTTCTGGAGGTGGGCTTAAGGGGCAGGGGGCCAGCAAGGAAATAGAAACTGTAGTGAGGTTCACATGTGCTGACGTCCACAGATGTCAAAGTAGTCACTCGGCACAAGCCACTTAGTAACTCTCATCCCAGTGTCATAGCCGTGTGCGACCCGTGATGAAGGCTGCGATGCGGGATGCAGTCACAGCACCAGTCTTGACATGGGGGCCAGGGAGAACCTTGAAAAACAGGTATCGGAAAGGCATCGCAGGGTGCTCTCACACGCACTCCTCTGTTGTTCTTGAGCAAGCCCTGCATGTGTGCCAGTCACCTGTGCTGCACAAGTTCTCACCGTGAACTTTATGGCAATGCTGCAGAAGGGAATACATGCCTGATCAGTGTTTATGAGCTCCACGTTTTTCTAGCCTTTTACCGTGACCTTATATTTGAAGCGAGTCTCTTACACAAAGCATATTAATGGGTGGGGGCTATCTTTATCCGATTTCACAATCTCTATGTTTGGATTGGTGTATTTACACCATTGCATTTTATTTATTTATGCATTTAGGCTTCTTTTTTTTTTTGAGATGGAGTCTTGCTCTGTCACCCAGGCTGGAGTGCAGTGGCACAATCTCAGCTCACCGCAACCTCGGTCTCCTGGGTTCAAGTGATTTTTCTGCCTCAGCCTCCTGAGCAGTTGGGACTAGAGGGGTGCACCATCATGCCCTGCTAATTTTTGCATTTTTAGTAGAGACCGGGTTTCACCATATTGGCCAGGCCACTCTCAACCTCCTGACTGTGATCTACCCACCTCGGCCTCCCAAAGTGCTGGGATTACAGGTGTGATCCACCCACCTCGGCCTCCCAAAGTGCTGGGATTACAGGTGTGATCCACCCGCCTCGGCCTCCCAAAGTGCTGGGATTACAGGTGTGAGCCACTGCACCCAGCCTAGACTTCTTATTTGTTTTCTTTCCCTCCTCTGTTTTTTTGTTCATTTTCCCTCCCTCAACTACCTTTTTTTTGGATTATTGGAATAATTTTTAGTATTCCATTTAAATTTACCAGCTTTGGGCTATTCTTTTTTCTTTCTTTCTTTCTTTCTTTTTTTTTAGAAAGAAAGAAAGAGAAAAGGGGGAGAGAGAACAGGAGTCTTGCTCCATTGCCCAGGCTAGAATGAAATCTAAAAATAGGTATTAAAAACCTCTTTTATGCTGATAATTGTGCTTAACAGTGGAGACAGGAAGGAATAAGGGAAGAAAATAACAAACAAACAGCCAACCATATTTCATTCAAGTCTGTGAAATGTTGCGCAAATGCTGAAGAGTGATTTACTTCCAATTATGTGGTCACTTTCAAAATAGGTGTAATGTGATACGGAGAAAAATGTATGTTCTGTGGACCTGGGGTGATGAATTCTATAAATATTCACTGAGTTTACTTGTTCCAGGTCTGAGTTCAAATCATAAATGTCTCTGTTAATTTTCTTTCTCGTTGATCCTTCAAATATTAACAATGTGGTGTCAAAGTCTCCCGCTATTATTGTGCAGGACTCCAAGTCTCTTTATAAGTCAGTGAAAACTTGTCTTATGTATCTTGGTGTTCCTATATTGGGTGCATATATATTTATGATCATTGACTCCTGTTGTTGCATTGATCCTTTTACCATTATGTAATGTCCTGCCTTGTTTCTTTTAGTCTTTGTTACTATTAAAGTCTATTTTGTCACAAAATTACAACTCCTGTTGTTTTTTTTCTCTCTCTCTCCATTTGATTGGTGAGTCTTCCTCCAACCTTTTGTTTTGAGTCTTTGTGTGTCCTTGCTTATGAGATGGATCTGGATACAGAGTGCCCATGTGTTTTGACTTTTTATTCAGTTTGCATGTCTGTGTCTTTGATTGGGGCATTTAATCCATTTAAATTTAGGATTAATATTGATATTTGTGAGTTTAACATTGTCATTTAATGCTCACTGGCTATTTTGCCCATTAGTTGATACAGATTCTTCATTATGGAGATATTCTTTACCTTTTGGTAAGTTTTTGGGATGACTGATACTGGTTGTTCCTTTCTGTGTGTAGTGCTTCTTTCAGAAGCTCTTGTAAAGCAGGCCTGGTGGTGATAAAAATCTCTGAGTGCTTGCTTGTTTGTGAAAAATTTTGTTTTTTCCTTCATTTATGAAGCTTAGTTTGGCTGGATACGAGATTCTGGGTTGAAAATTCTTTTCTTTGAGGATATTGAATATTGACCCCCACTCTCTTCTGGCTTGTAGGGTTTCTGCTGAGAGATCTGCTGTGAGTCTGATAGGCTTCCCTTTATGGGTAACCTGACTTTTCTCTCTCACTGTCCTTAGAATTTTCTCCTTTATTTCAAACCCAGTGAATCTAACAATTACGTGTCTTGGGGTTGCTCTACTTGAGGAATATCTTTGTGGTGTTCTCTGTATTACCCGGAGTTGAGTATTGTCCCACCTTACTAGGTTAGGAAAGTCTCCTGAATAATATCCTGAAGAATATTTTCCAGCTTGGATTCATTTTCTTCATGACATTCAGGTACACCTATCAAACGTAAATTAGGTCTTTTCACATAGTCCAATATTTCTTGGAGACTTTGCTCATTCCTTTTTACTCTTTCTTCTCTAATCTTGTCTTCTCGTTTCATTTCATTAAGTTGGTCTTCGACCTCTGGTATCCTTTCTTCTGCTTGATCAATTCGAGTTTTAAAACCTGTGCATACTTCGCGGAGTTCTCATATTGTATTCTTCAGTTCCATTAATTCACTTATATTCCTCTCTAAATTGTCTATTCTCTTTAGGATTTCATCAAACCTTTTTTCAACGTTCTTAGTGTCTTTACATTGGGCTAGAACATGTTCTTTTAACTGACAGAAGTTTCTTATTATCCACCTTCTGTAGCCTAAATCTGTTAATGGAACTCACTGGCTCTCCATCAGGCCTTATTCTGTTGTTGATGAGGAACTGTGATCCCCTGTAGAGGGAGAGGCATTCTGATTTTGAGTATTCTCAGCCTTTTTATGCTGGTTTCTTCCCATAATTGTAAATTTATCCACCTGTCATCTTTGTAATTACCGACTTTCAAATTAGATCTCTGAGTGGATGTCCAACTTGTTAATTCCCAGAGCCAAAATCTGAGCAACTACTGTGTCAGCTAAAACAGTGGCATCAAGATTCTTGGTGCTTTTCTGCCAGGGAGTCTCCGGTCTGGCTTCCCTCCTGAATCCCTTCTTCAATCAGCTGAATGGGCGACTCTGCCTTCCCGGAGCTCCAAACGTTGACCCAAGGGGGACCCAGTCTCATTTACTCCACACCAAGAACCACCGCGCCAGCCACAGGAGTCACGCTGGCAACCTGTGGGGCTCCTCCGCTGGGAATCTCCTGGTCCTTGAGCAACAAAAATTTGTCTGAAAGTGTGGCGTCCTCTCGTTCTTTGCGCTTTCACTGGGAGCTACAAGCCTGAGCTGCTAGTGATTGGCCATCTTGGATCTCTCTGGGCTATTCTTTTCTAATGTTTTATTGGTTGCCCTGGAGATTACAGTATACTTATGACTTTTTTTTTTTTTTTTTTTTTTTAAACAGGGTTTTGCTCTTTTTGCCCAGGCTGGAGTGCAATGGCACAATCTCAACTCACTGAAACCTCTGCCTCCCGGGTTCAAGCAATTCTCCTGCCTCAGCCTCCCAAGTAGCTGGTATTACAGGCATGTACCACCATGCCCAGCTAATTTTGTATTTTTAGTAGAGATGGGGTTTCTCCATGTTGGTCAGGCTGGTCTCAAACTACTGACCTTGGGTGATCCACCCACCTCGGCCTCCCAGTGTGCTGGGATTGCAGGCGTGAGCCACCGCGCCCAGCTGTACTTATGATTTTTTACAGTCTTCTTAGACTCTCTGCTCTGCCACTTCATTTGAGGTGTGGTTTCTTTCTCCACATGCCCCCCATTCTGTCTTTGTCATATTTTCACATCTACATGCACTGAAAACCCTGGGAGGTAGTCTACGTGGCAGTTTTGCTTTCAACAGTATCGATCTTTTTTTTCTTTTCGCAGACAGAGTCTTATTCTGCTGCCCAGGCTGGAGTGCAGTGGTATGATCTTGGCTCACTGCAACCTCCCTCCTAGGTTCAAGTGATTTTTGTGCCTTAGCTTGCCAGGCAGCAGGGACTACAGGTATGCACCACCATAACCAGCTAAGTTTTTTGTATTTTAGTCTCTATCAATGGTGTTTCATCATGTTTCCCACGCAAGCCTTGAACTCCTGAGCTCAGGCAATCTCCCCACCTTGGCTTCCCAAAGTGCTAGGATTGTAGGCATGCACCACCACACCAGGCCTCAACAGTAATAGATATTTTAAATGATTTTTTAAAAACAGGCCAGGTGCGGTGGCTCATGCCTGTAATTCCAGCACTTTGGGACCCCGAGGTGGGTGGATCATCTGACGTCAGATGTTCAAGATCAGCCTGGTCAACATGGCAAAACCACGTCTCTAAAAATACAAAAATTACCTGGATATGATGGTAGGCGCCTGTGATCCCAGCTACTCAGGAGGCTGAGGCAGGAGAATCCAGCTTGAACCCAGGAGGCAGAGGTTGCAGTGAGCTGAGATCAAGCCACTGCACTCCAGCCTGGGTGACAGAGCAAGACTCCGTCTCAAAAAAAAAAAAAAAAAAAGGTGAAAACAGCATATTATGCTTCTGTAAATATATGCCATTTCTGTTGCTCTTCCTGCATTCCTGGAGCTCCAGCCTCCCTCTAGTATCATTCCCTTCAGGCTACATACCTTTCTTTAGCATTTTCTTTTAAAGTTGGCAGGTCAAGCACTTTGGGAGGCCAAGGCAGGCAGATCACTTTAGGTCAGGGAGACCAGTTCGTCCAACATGGTAAAACTCTGTGTCTACCAAAAATACAAAAATTAGCTGGACATGGTGGTGCTTCTAATTACAGCTACTTGGGAGGCTGAGGTGGGAGGATCACTTGAATTCAAGAGGCGGAGGCTGCAGTGAGCTGAGATCGCACCATGCACGCCAGCCTGAGTGACCGAGTAAGTCTCCATCTCGAAACAAAGTCTGCTGGTGAGGATTTTACCCATATAAACACGTAAACTATTTTATTTTACCCTATCTAGAGTTGGTCAAACTTCTTGATTTTCATAAGTTTATATCTGTCTCTAAATAGGGGGACTTTTCTGCCATTATTTATGTTAGCACAGTCTGACATTTCCCCGTGCTGAGAACATCTGTCTTTTCACTCATTCCTGGAGTGTCTACTCCTGTCCAGGCTGGAGTTGCTGCTGTGAAGTCTTTTTCTGATCCCTCCAGTGTCTGAGTCCTGGGGCACTGCCAGTGACTCACTGGCCTTTCCCTTGAGACTGGATCCAATTTTCAGTCCTTGGCATGTTGGGTAATTTGGGGTTGTATTGTTGTGAACTGAATGTGAGCCTGGGAATCTCATCCAGCGAGAGGGTCCCAAACCTGGAAGAGAGCATGCACAGAAAGAAAGGAGAAAGAAAAAGAGTGAGGTCTGAAGAACTACATGAGCTATGCCCATGCAGCAATTTTATTTTTGCAATAAGTTCCATTATATACTTTTCTGCTTAATGTTGTTTACGTCAGATCAAAATACTTAAGTCACAAGGTAAGCAAGTTAAGCCCACTAAGTTACGCCCAGAAATATTTAAAAAGTGTAAATACTTAATATTTTACAATGAATGTAGCAAGGATCCAAAATGAACACAATGAAGCAATAAACCATAAGGAGCCAAAAGTGGACACAACGCCTCCCAAGCCCTCATATCCATAAAGTAATGTCTGTTGATTATTTTGAATAGCATAGTCCCTCTCTCGGTTCCTGCTTTCCCTCAGCTCAACTCCCCCAACCGGGGATCTGTGTCCGGGCTCAAGCTCACCGTATGGCAAGGCCCATTTCCTAAGGGCCTCACACGGGAGCGATCCCCACAGATCTCCCTCAGTTCTCCCTTTTGTTTTTAAATGCAACTCAAAAAGCTTGAGCCGCAATTGTTGAAGGGAGGAGAACACAAGGCGAAAGAAAGAGTACCGGGAGAAGGACCATAAGAAGGAGTAAAACCACTCCAATACCAATTAAAGAGGAAAAGGACGGGAGATGAACTCCATGTACCCAGGAAAACAAGGTGTCCACAATATCACAGGAGATTGTGTCATCCTCAGGCAGCTTTCGACGAGAAAAATCAATGGCATGAATTTCCTGCTGAAGCTTGAAAACATCTAGAGATAAATTGTCATGAGTCCAAACTCCTTGTATATGGGCCTTAACAAGAGGCCACCACCATTTAGTGTCATTATAAGGAGTATTAGTAACACAAATATATTTATAATCAGCATGGCAATGAAGGGCCAGGCAGTTTTGAATATTATAAAGTTTATCACCAAGAATAGTAACCGTTTGTTCCAAAGCGTTAAGTTTTTCATCAATTTTCTTATCAATGTCCATTTGAGTTCCCATCGTAACAGAACTACTTTTTTGCAAGATGATTAACATAAGTAGCAGTTTGGACACTGTGAGAGAGGTATAAGCTTTGAGTGTAAATAGGAGTGCCCCAACCACCAGGTGTTTCATAACGAGCCATTATAGCAATAAACATAACAGTAGGAGAATGGGATTGTCCGGAAGATGCGACCAGGGCAGATGCTTCAGCAGTTAGACGGCACATCTGGGCCCACGTTGGCAGGGGGCTGCCCCATTG